AATAATCTTCATCATATTTAGAAACAATGGAAAGAAAAGTAGAAAACAAGCCAAGAAATAGAGAGAGGTGGATGGGAGACAGGGAAGATTCAGCTGTGAATAAATCATAAAGGCAACAAGAAAGAAGAACTGTGATAGCAAACTGCTGAATAGATAGATACCTAGGAGGAGATAGAGGCGGAGGGAACAAATGTAGAGGAAACTTCTAAGTGACATCACACATTGCATCTTCAAGTGAAACTTGAACAGGGAACGACAGGTTGCAGACGTTTATCAACAGGCCTTCTTCGGCCTGTCGATATTGAAAATCAGATGGTTGGTTGGACAGGGAGAACAAGCGAAACAGTAGTGTGACAATAATCCATTCAAGAACCAATCACTAAACAAATATGCAAGAAATTGGATTGGATAAACTCGAAGGAAACCATTGACTGATGTCACACATCCAGCAGGCTTTCGACTGAAATCTCAATTCTCAGTGACGAGTTGGGAGATGGGTCCCCGGGGTTGAATGAAGATGATTATATGAAGAGGGAATGAAAGCTTGTGGTGGTCAGTCGTTAAGCCAAATATAAATGATGATGGAGAACCAAGTGTTATCAAAGATCTTCGTTTTACTCAGGATTCAAATGATGGCAGAGAAGAAAGTGTCATAGAGATGTCTCTCTAAGACCATGTATTCTACACGGAATGTAGGGAGCGAATAGTAATCATAATATTCATGGGTATAGTTTTGACTAGTAGTTAAATCAACAGAAATAAAGAATAACAATCTTCTTGTGATGCTGTACGAGCGTTAGGTAACGACGGAAAGACAATCGATGAAGTGGTGAAGCTACATCAACTAAGATTGCCAGAACATGTATTACCCATGCCAAACCTCTGTATTTCTTGACGAACAATGCTAGCTGACTTACGATTAGGTTGGGAAAGAGTTAGGGGTGTGGGTGGGGTTGGGGGTTGGCTAAACCAAAACCTGGTGTCAGTCCATGAAGTTTCTGATAGTTGGTTTACGCCATATAGGCAAATGAAGACTGATTGACTGGTTGGGGTCTTCTAGATGTTAAGAATCAGTCAATGGCTGGGAAATGTTGCTGATAACGAAGAAAGTAGTCGATGCGTTCACTTTTTGTGATCTACTAAATTCGCATTTTTTTTCCATGCTACTATTCTTTCTCCCTACCCCTCAAACTTTCTTGTTCATTGTAGCTCTGCTGAAACTCTTTTTTCTTTCCTTTTTCTGCCTTTGTGTGCTACATAGATTATGGCAACTTCAGCTGCTGTACTTCTTTGAAAAGCTCTATGCTGAGGCTCAAAATCAGTATGATAATCAGAATACGTACAAAGAATTTCTTTGTAAAGTTAGGCGATAGGTGGTATAAGAATAAAATTTGTTTACTGTGGTAGAGTATAATTCCATTGGGGGTAAAATTAATTTTAATTATGTCTCACAGTGTTTGATGTACAGTAATATTTACTGATGATAACCAACGTTTCGAGCACAATTTATTACTCCAGCTCATAATCATAATCAAGGCATTACTCACACAACATTCTAACTTCATTTATGCAATCTCATTACTTTCCATTTCTTGATTTGATTGGTAGTGATATTTTCCATATCTTTGGGTATTGGTGATGAGTCATGATGACTATTTCACGTGTTGGGTGTTGACTCGATGAAAAAGGATGCAGTAATCAACCTCTTTCACTCTCCACAAACCTACTTATATTGCTTCTTAGAATTCTAACCCTCTCCCACCCGCACTATTGTGTGGTCGTGTGTTAATGCATACAGTGCAATTGCTGAGCTTTTTTATAAATTACTTATCTTCTCCGGGACAATCATTCTTAACTTAGCTAAATTCTTATGTTCCGACAATCTGATTACCCCTGATCTCCTAGTTTGACTGACCTATGGGGTTGACGACTTAACTCACAGTCATTACAAGGTATTTTGTAAATTATATTATTTTGTCTAGTTGGATCAACTGGGTCCTGTACCCATAGTAGCAATAACTTCTAATTCAACAAAAGATGGGACCGGAAACCTTTTAAGTCGTCAGGAAACTACTTCACATATCACTTTTATGGAGTTTTTCTATTGTCTCAGAATGGTGTGAAAGAACAAGGTGTTCATGGTGAACCAAGGTGACCCTCTTGGTTAGCCTAATTTTTTTGTCTTATAATCAAAGATTGTCTTCTGCACATATATACACAGCCAATGTAATTACCTCCAAAAGAAGTCAGTGAATTAGTTGATATTTAACCCCCCCCGCGTCCCATCTATGCCCACAGGCATTTTATGTTAACACTTAAGAAACACTCGTTTTAACTGTACAACTTTGATGAAAGGCTAAAAGATGACTACTCCTTACTGACCTACATCTTTATCTTATTTGAATTTCAAAAATGCCGGCAATTTAATTGGACGACAATTAGTCATACTCATTGCCTCCAAAGCCTCAGGATGGTCGGGGGTGGGTGCCTTGCGCTGCGGGTCGGCCACCCCTCCGTACACCTCTTCAAATGCTCCCATATGACCGGGCGTCTTACATAGCCTCTCCTGAGGAAGTCCTACTCACTGCCTTCACGTGGCGGAGGTGTTTCTCACCAAAGTGAGAGGGCGAAAGCGGATGCCCGGCGCTCTCCACCGGGTTGACTGTCCATTGGATGACGGTCTAGGGGAGATGGCTAAACCCTGATTCCAAACCTCCAACGACTGGCGTATGAAGCTCACTGGAGCTCACCGGCAGACGTATGGACAAAGGGCTTGTTGGATGTCCTGGATGTCTGGCCCCATTCAAAAAGGCGTATGAACCGGACTCCGGTCACCGGCTGACTTCCAATGGATAGTGGACTCCTTACTTCACTCCTACTGCCTTTTAGGTCACACTTGGCTGTGTAAAGGCTAGAGCTGCACTCTCAAACAAAAGGCCGAGCGATCCTGGGGACATCACTCGTACCAAATTCCCATGAAACTTCATGAACTCTCTTACAAATTGCCGCGCCTGGGCAGCGATGATTCGAGACGTTCATGAAGCCGGCTCATCCTCCCGTAGGAGATAGCCGAAGTAAAGTAAAGTAAGTAAGTAGTCATACTCATTTGCCTTTTGTAAAAGTACAATACGGAAATGGTACTACGGAAACAAGAATAACCAACAGGATTGAAAGGCTCCATTCAATTATAATAATGTGGGTGTGAATACGCACGCCTGGGTAGTTCAGAGTCAGAATGCTCACCAATCACACATGTGGTCCCACATCTTATTCCAGGTTGACCAACTGTTAAAACTCACTTAGCTGGTAGTCAGACTGGAAAAAAGAGGGTAAAGTTGGGCGTTAAACTAGCGATCCCACTCGTCTATAAAAACAACACTCCCGTCTCTATTGAAAATTTAATGCTTAGGCAAAAAGAAAATGAAGAAAATGGATCTGAATAACAAATCAGAAGTTAAATTGATTATTCAATACAAAATAACCAATCCAGAGTTTTGAAGATCCTGTTGACTGAATTCTAACAGTCAAAATTTCTAAGCTAGGTGACTGACTCACTACCCTGGCAAACCTTCAGTTTGATGTTAAATAGGTGAGGGAAATCAGGAAGGAAGCCTTAGACTGAAAATTCTCAGTGGTCTCTGACTGAAATAGTGAGTCATGAGAGTGAGAATTACAGATAAGATATCCCGGTGGGTGCGTACTGCTGAAGAGTCACAAATTAGGCTGACGAAAACAGCTGTCCAGTACTCCCTGGCTGGTTTTTCAATGGTTCTCTAACTAATGCCAGCTCATGATGAAGTCCTGTAGCCAATCAAATCCCTAGAAACCAACACTTGTATATCAATGAGATGCTCACTAGCGACTAGCCCTAACCAGGTAGGTAGTTACTTGGGGTTCCAGTGGGAAGTCGTGACCAGTAGGGTGCAGCAGGTCGGGTGTGAGGACAAATACTCGCCGAAGACATTGACTAGCGGTTGCGCTATATCATGAATTGGCAGAAGTTACAATTCATGGGTCGGCAATTGGATCGGATCCCAGTGACTTAATTGTATACGAGCTAGCTCGCCTTTTAACCAGAAGGTCCTTGGCTCGAACCCAAGTGGGTTGGGTGCGTACTCATGAAGAGTCCCAAACTAGGTTGACGAAATAACTGTCCCGTACTCCTTGGCTGGTTTTCCAATGGTTCTCTAACTGATGTCAGTTCATGATGAAATCCTGTAACCAATCAAATCCCTACAAACCAACACTTAGATATTAGTTCTATTTAAGCTTTGAGATATATCTTGATGGCGACAGGCTAATAACCACGAGATCTATGTCTAAGGCATCCCAACGACTGACTTCAACCTTCCAACAGCAAATCAGAAGTCAGTGAATTAGACCCATGAATGCCAGGCATCAGTTTACGAGGTATATAGGTCACGTGTTGGTAAAAGCAGACATAAATTTATTGAGTTTGACAGTAACCTTAGTAGTTTAAGGACAGTATGAATATTATCACAATTTCAAATAATTTCCAGTAGGTAACTTCCAAAGCCAATTAACTCTCCATCCCTAACATTTAACATGAATACAAAGCAATCATTATACACAATGCAAGTTGTTATTTCGTCAGTACTGGCCAACAGTCGAATCTAGGATGTACACTTCATCCTATTGCAGAATTCATCCTCTGAATCTGCCTATAATCAACCAGGAAATCACACTGTTCCCACTTAGATTTGAACCCACCACTCATCGTGTCAACTTCCGAAGCGTTATCCCTTAGGCCACCAGAAACATCAGGCTGACGAGTCCCAAGTAGGACGAAACACAGGTCATGTTGTATTCCACTGATAGCCTACATAACCCACCGAGTGACATCATGACTATCTCGAGACACTGTCGTACCGTACATGCTAGAAAGTGGTATATCAACAGTGGATCAAGCATTTCAATTCAAGGGAAAAACTATCAACCAGAAATACAGTCAAAAACAACTAACTAACTAAATGACTTACATTGGATTGAAGTAGTTTCATATACTGTTTAGATAAATCTTCATAAGTACGAATGTACTTAACATTGACTTCATCATTGCATATATCCCATTCCTTTGGCACATCTGGTTTTACATTGATAAGTCGACAGATAGCAGGTGAATTTAAATAACTACGTATCAGTGTATCGTCTATGCATGGCATTGTAGAACTGAAAACGAAATGAATTTACATCAAAGTCTATTTGTACGAACCAAATGCACAATTGATTATAAACAAATTATTTCAGAAGATAATTATTGTAGACTGAGACAACCACTTTCTAGAATAACACTGAATGGTACTGCATACTACTGATTATTTAAATATAAGTAGTTGGATATCACTCACATGAAGTAGCAGTGCTAACCTACTATCCACATAAAGGTGATCTCAACACAGGACAGGCAAATCTTTCAACTGGAGTCAAGTTCATCAGAGGGGTATTGATATGTAGTCACATGGTGTGTGTGTGTGTGTTTTGTTTCTGACAGTCTGTTATATTTTGCTATGTGTATATGGATCGATATTCTATTATAACTGATATTATGCTTTTGTCTGTCCATTAACTAAGTAAACAATGTATGACCTTGTTGTCACATGACATTACAACCAATCATGGTAAGACGTTATCTTATTGAATCATGTGTATTAGTCATTTTCATATATACTCTTGCTTTGTACACTTGTTCATACTTGTGTCCATGTTTTCGTACACTATGTACCATTTCACTCACACACTTGTGTGACATTTATTTTCCGTATTTGGAAAATACAAGTATCATCGTGAACGAGTTGGTCTTCTGATTTCTCTCTTTCCGCGTCAGGACTATTAACTACTCGACGAGTACATAACAGGTATCGTGTTTGGTTCAACTCGAACAGTATAATCTGCACAAATACGAATCCGATAATAGGATTCGGTTTGCTTTAGGAGATTCCACAGTCTAAAGTGAATTAGACCGGGTCCACCACTGATGATGAGCTCGGCCCCAAACCAGTGGGACGACATTTTGGTGTTTAAATCAACTTTTTTGATCTGGCTAGCCAGGAAGCATTAATGATTGATGTACGTGGTGTGAAAATGTAACAACAGAAGACGAGCACCAGGCAACAGATCTTTTATTAAGGAAATCAACACATATTTAATTGAATTTTTGATTTTCCCGTCGATTGATTGTACCGAACTGCTCGGTGCTCGGTGGCGTTTGAAGCTATGGGCACTGGGTTTGAGCCTCGGTGGGAACATCACCACTCACTGAGAAATGCAGGTACATTCAGTGACGAGTCCCAAACAGGACGAAATGCGCGTTATCCTGGATTCCACTGCTAGTCACCATCCACCAATTAAATCAACACATATTTATAGATTTTCATGTACATTATAATAGATTATTGTTAGCAGGAAAATACTGTCTTCTGACTGGTTGTTTCTCACAGAAAGTTAATTTTCATCTCTGTGTGGCTGTTTCTTAAATGTCAGATCATCAATATGCTAATTGTATCCGCCTACGCAAAGTCTCCTGTGGTTGGCTGTTGAATCAGTCTTTGTTTTTATTTTTCTCACGACCAATATTGGGGAGGTAAACATTGACGTAAATTACTGTCTACCGATTTGGCGAGCAGACAGCTCTCACCACAAAACAACCAGTGGTATGTTGGTTCATACAGTTATGATTACTTTCTTGATTCTCATTTATGGTATCAATCAGGTCACATATTTTGTGATTGCATACCATGAATTAATTTATAAAAATTGTGGATTTGATCCAATATCAGATAATTTATGAGCACTGAGCCATGGAACAGGTTGTAGCCGTAATGAGGTCCTGTCTATGCTAGGAATCAATCATCACAGGATTCTGATTTAGTGTGTGTTGTTCTATGGGTTTCATGTGGAAAATCAGACTTTAGTAGCACATCTCCATCTAATTCAGTTATCTGGAATCATTACTACTGTCCCTGTCAGCTACCGTCTCATAAACCGTTAATGCCCAGCTCTCGCTACGCTCGGGCCCACGCTGTTCCTTGAAGATTTTCGAAACGCTTAGTTATAACGGACGAAAAACCAGAACACCAATTGTTGACTTGAGTATTATGTATTGTTACACCAGCATATAAATCAAGTATCACTAAGCAAACTAAGAAAACTAAGGTCTGTAAACAAATATTACAATAATAAATCGTTATGTTACTTCTAACGATGTTTAACTCTTCTTTCTGAACAGCGACCGATGAGACGATGACTGTCGTATTGATGCCTCCGCGAAAATCGAGGAAGTTGATTTTGAGCAAACAACCAAGAATTGATCGTTCAATCTTCAACTCCATTGACACTCCCCGGCAAAAAAGGGATCCAACCCTTTTTTCCTTCACGACCAATGCACGTTGACTTGGATGCCATTGCGAGAACCTGGGTCACACGGACAGAGCTGAAATGGAAAACAAACAGAAAAGCCAACACACCACAAGCATACCCACAGCACAATCTCACACATCAATGACGACCTGCGCCTCCAGACAGAGACCTCCTCTTGACATCTTGCAACACAGTCTCCACTTGCTAGAATGACTCTTGCAGAATGCAAAGTGACCATGGCAGCACCTCACGATACTCTACGCACATCCTCTTATCTACTCATTACCAATTACCACTGCAATCGCTTGTCACTCATTCTGCCTCAGTTCTAATAGCGGTGACGCATGCGAGCCTCAGTCGTTTACACTCTTTCTCCCCGGCGTGTCGGACCGCAGCTAACAATTGTCTCCGTGTGCATTTCATTCTCAGCAATAGCCTAGCCTCCCCGGCGTATACGACCCATCTGCTGTCCTTAACATCAATCAATTCATTCATGGATGTAGAAGACTCGAAACAACTTCAGAAATAATCACGACGAAAATTTTAACAAAATTACGCAATAACAACAAGACACGAAAACAACAAGTAAACACAATGAATCCAAAAACACCAATTGCTATGACACACCACACGTATATACAAATAGTACAAACAACCTCGCCGATCATGTCTTGGTGGAATTCCTTTGAAGAATTGCAGGACTTACACCAGTACGCCTACAACCCTTCACAGGTTGACGATTGTAAGTTGTGGAATGTCCAGACACAAACAAGATTAACCAACAATTACATCAATTGGAACTCACACAACTATTTAACACAAACATATGTACAATCAACACATCAAATGTTGTGGATTCTGACACGACAAACTACCCTTGAAGAACTGTAGGACTTACAGCAGTACGCCTACATTCCTTCTCAGGTTGATGATCCAAGTGGAAGTCATCCGGACACAAACAGAATTACCAACAGCTAGATGATAAATGATATCAATTCAGTATATACAATATGAACATATGTACAAAATCACACACCAAGCACATTGGACTGCTCATTGATGCGCTACCCTTTGAAGAACTGTAGGACTTACAGCAGTACGCCTACAACCCTTCTCAGGTTGACGCCCTAGGTTGGAAAATCGTCGCAGAGTTCATTTGCTAACTTCCTTCTATCAGCTATATCCTCAAATCTGAACGGCAACACGCCCATGTCATTGTATCGTAGAATATAGATGACCAACAAACACACGACATATCTCATCAACCAAGTATAGAAACAGAGTAATTTACACCAAAGATAATAACATTCAAATAGTAACTTGAAACTAGAAATGCCTTTATTCGTGCAAGTCAATTTAACAATAACTCTCTCCTTTACACTTGGCTTATCCACACTAAACTGACCATTGATATTCGTCCTTTCAAACGAACTGATACTACCATAGTCATTGCAGAAGATACTAGAGTTGATGGGCATCTGTTTCATTGTGGATGAAAACACCAACGATGACTGAGTGACACAAGGTGATGAACTTAGTGGTGGATCAGAAGCTGTTCTTGTTCGGCTCTCAGATAGTTGTCCAACTGCAAGATTACCACCACTGCTGTCTTTCACTACTAGTTCGGGTTTAGCACTATCATCTGATGATAGGTGGGCTACATGCTGATCAATTACACTGACTGTCTCACAAGTATGCACACCTTCTGGAACTGCATCTGCGTTCAATTCTACTTCACGTTGTAGTTGTACAGAACCTTTATTTAACTTAGCAGTAGTAGGCATATCCCTCATCTCATAATGATCAACCAAAGACAAATCTGCACTATCATGATCATTACCACAAATATTCAATTTACCGTCAAGTTCATCATTTTCAAACTCTTTAATAACAGAAGTAGACAATTTTGGTTCCTCCTCAAAATCATTAAAGGTTTTATAACTTCACTCTGACTAGATATACTTTGTAAACTTGTGGAGTCAGAACTCCACTCTGAAGCAGTAACTCTATTCTGTGACACTCTATTCAACAACGGCTTACCAGTTGCAACTACAGACTTCTTCACAACACCGTTATCGTCACACAATTCGGAGTCAGACCTGGAGTTTACATTTAGCTTATCACTGAACTTGCTCACTGGTTCACAGTTCACTTTGTATGCACCTCTTGCAAACGAGTACAACACAACCGTGTTTGTCTTGCATCTTGCAACTTATCTGTTGAGGATGTACTACGAAACCTGTTACACTCACTAGATCTATATGCATTACTAGACATCATGGAGCCTTCTCGATATCCACCTCTCTGAGGCTTATTCGTCATCAATGAGTACGTTTTCCCTCAGACTGCTCTATTCTATGGGTGAGATCTAACAGACTGGCGAACTTGCTCATAGATTGATTGACACTAGTATTTACCAGTTTCAGGATATCATCAAACTTTGGCTCGATACCCTCATCCTCCATACGGGAGCTTATCTTCACCCACTTCCTTTGCAGTCGGGTAGGTAGACGTCTTGCTATTACTTCTAGTATAAAACTCGAGTTGAGGTCACTCATTCGATTCATCGAAATCATTCCATTCTTGTAAATTAGCAAATTATCTAAAAACTCAGTGAGTGCCTGGGAGTCATCCTGTAACTGACCACCATTACCCTCAACAGCCTCGAATAATTTCCCTGCAATCATCGAGGGTCTTCCAAACCTTTGGCGTAATATGCTCATAGCCTCATCGTAGCCCTCCTTTGGCTTCATAAACTTACAACACTGTATAGCTCTTGCAGCATCTCCAGTGCAATATCTCATCAAATACAT